TGGTTAGAAAAGTACTGCTCCCAAAAGCACATCAGTGCCGTCCTCTAACGATTTTTTTTAAAAGGCTTTTGGGCGGCTTTTTCCTTGACTTCTCCCATCGACCACCTTGGAAGTTTCCAGGCGCGTTTAAAGGTGGAAACTTAAAGATGGGCCTGACACTCTAATAGGACAAGGTGACCTTATAAAAAAGGCCAAACCCATTTTTACAAAACACAGACACACATAAATATAGAAACACACCTAACACTTACACGCAATGTTAAATGGACCCATATGGCGGGTCTTTCACTCGCTTAGGCAAAAGATGCGCAGCGATAGTTTTATAGGATACGGTGTATGATTTCATGTCTGCATGCGTGTTTATAAATGCATATATGCATGTATACATCTACAGCAAGAGTTATTTAGAGAAGGTCACCTGGGCGAGAAAGGCCTCTTTGGAGTTAAAGAGTCAGTGTGGGTTGGAAGGCGACTAAGAGCTGTAAAAACGGAGATGTCACGAGAAGTAAAAAGCAACGAGGGCCAGGACGAACAAAGTGATAAAGGACCATTTGTTCTCCAAAGCTCATTAAAGGGAACCGACAGAGTGGTAAACTTCAAGGAGGAGGATAAGAATGGAACAGTGCAAAAAAACAAGGTCGCCATAAAACTGGAGTCAGACAAAAAAAAGAAGATGCAGTTTAATGAATGAATTGAGTCTTAATTCAAGAATATATATATTTTAGAAAGCAATAGATTTAATGATGCTTTAATGCTTGATTTAACAACTTTTATGACCGCCCTATCGAATGTCCATCTGGATCAACTGATGGCAAAAATCTGTATAATCTACAGACAATTTGTGGGATATATAACTGTCAACAACAACAGCAACAACAAACCTAAAAAAGCACCATTCAGTGGCACCATTGTGTCTGCACAGTGTGTGTGCAGGGCATCAAGGTGGCAGAGTTCAGCATGTATAAACCACATGAACCTTTAAAATGAAAACTGCAACAGAAGGAGAATCAGCCACAGATGACGATGTTTGTGCATCCCAAAGCCAACTGGCTGTAGCAGACGAGCCGACTGAACTTTTAGCACACATGCTGAAGAAATTGGAATGGGAGAAAGTCTGTATAATTTACAGGTGTGCCATGTAGATTGACGTGTACGTAGTAATGAATGCCTGAATCCGTCTTTATGCATGTGTTTGTTTTGAGTGTTTTTTTTTAGCCTTGATTTGATAGAAATCCAAGAGACAGTCGGGGAATGACGTCCACTGCTCAGGAAATATGGAATGCATCCTAACAACTCGGGTGTCACCCACTGATTCTGTCAAAACATTTTCGTCTCCATACATCCTTCAGTCTGATTTTTGAACCATTTATTTCTCGCAATAGGTTGAAAAATATTGTAGTTTTTCATATCATGCTTACCACATTGTCCCCTGTGCAAATAAACCTTAGGTTTGTTAAAGTATTAATGCTTGATGGAGGCTCTTTTGCAAACACGGTGCCTCAATTTCTGGTATTACTGTAAAATAAAATAAAATAAACAATGAAATCATTTCACCCTCTGAACTTAAACTCCCTGCTGAGTTTGAAAGGCAGAATTTCTTTTTAGAAATCGCCAAAATGACCATATTTATTAGAGCCAGGAACTATAAAGGCATGAATAGTCATGTCATTTTCCGACTCTGTTCAATAAAATTGTGATGTTTCATTAAAATGTTTATTCTGCATGTCTTATTTAAAAAATAAATCATCAAAAACTAATTATGTAGACCGAATGGATTCTTAAAAACAAAAAAACAATCCGAGTTGTGACCATTCAAAAATGTATTTTTGGCTAAACTGCAGGCAGTGTACACTATTTAAAAGTAGTAAATAAATATCTATAATAACCATTTTTCTTTTTCAGTTTTAGTTTAAATTTGTGTAAAAGTTATAATCAAACAAATTAAACTTGTTTCTTCTTTATATTATGATTTAGGCATTCTAAATCTTATTATATATCTCCACATCTGGCTGTGCTGTTTCCATAGAGTTGCAGGACTTGAATAAAACGTAACAGCAGCTTAAAACGCCCAGAAACAGTTTGGCATTCAGAGCCTTAACAAAAACAAGGATTAGCATTTCATAGGTGCTACAAATATCAACCTGCCTCGGTCGTATTCCTTCCCAGTCTGACCACATCTCGAGCTTTTTAACGTCTCAGCTGTGCCCTTCATCACATGTTTTCATCCGCTGTAATTACACACAGAAGCAGGCCTGCACATGCAAAAGCATCAATGCACAACCACACACACACACACACACGTGGGGATGTCAGCAAGCCGTCGAGCATCTCGCAGCGGGATGCAACTTTCACCTTCACAGCTTTCATACCACCCCGACGACGGCCAGTCTGCATGCCGGCGGAAGGGCGACTAGGGTTTGACGGACAACTGACGGGCTCGTCTTGAAGATCCGCGAGCGTGCGGGATGCCTCAAAAGCATCCCCCCGTTAAGCCATTTAATCCACCGTTTGGTGTTGAAATCCGACTGTATTTCGGCAGCAGAGCGCGAGGAAGAAAGAGAGACGCCCTCATAAAGGATGACACCGGTGAAAAAAAAAGGTGGCGTATCGGTGACTGGCACAAGGAAAACTGTCGCGGTTTTATATTCGCCATGTCTGCCTCTCCGTCTATCTGTCACTGTCCAGCTGTCACAGTTTTAGGTGACGTGATGTGACTGTATCAGTGTCTGTCTCCGAGATTGCTTTCAGGGTGATGTCATCCATCCGTCTGTCATCCGAGTGAGTGTCATAAAAAAAAGTGTCTGACTGCCAACCACGTCTGATTCATGTCAACTCCCTGATTTTTTTCCTTCTTTCTTTGCAAGTGAAGATTTGTTAGATCAAGCTGCAGATTGGGGTTTTCTTGGGGAGTTATCAGGGGATTTGGGGTTTGTTTAAACTTGAATTGCTGGTTAAGTGAAGTCGGAATTACGGGAAGCTCGTCACGGGGGACGGAAAGTCGCTAAAATCATGAAAGTTTAAAATTTGCAGCTTCATTCTGGAGGTTAGAGGAAAGCTGTGGAGTTTTTGACTATGAGTGACTATACGGAGCGCCACGAGGTCCACATTTGCTTTGGGTTCCTTCACACCCATGAGGATATCGACTGAATTATGCTAGCGTATCTCCTCCTGTCTTAACTCCTTCTCCATTTTCTTAAGACGAAAGCCGCCAAATGAGAAATCTCTCCCGTCTGTCTTCAGCGAATGACGTCCTGCCAAATCCAACAAACACCCACATTACTTGCTTCACTTGGAACACACCTTTGCGTTTTTCCTCCCTCCTTGTGGTGCACTTTAAAGAAATTGGAACTCTTCCACGATTAGAACAATTTCTGGGTCAGTGGAGGAGAGAAGATGTGAGGAGGCACAAGGCCAGTGTTATACTTCTCATATCTGCAAGACTTTAAAGGTTCCCTTGGGTGCAAGCGATGTGCATCTCTGCCAAAATCCCTCCGCCGATGTCCACATGCAACTCAAAATTTGTGCCAAGGCGGCCATTATCCTAAAGGGCAGTAGTGTGTATGCATAAAATACGCAAATACAGATCTTTTTTGGACAAGTATAAACTCGCCTTTCAAGTGGATTCCAAGTGAACAAGCTTCAACATTCGACTTTTATGTCGAGTTTTAATGTCCAGTATTTTAAAAACTGTTTTCTTAAATATCAAGTGAAGTACGTCGTCAAAGAAACGACCTTAAATTCACCTTATTTCATGATGACATCCCCAAAAATCTTGACTTCGCCTCGTTGCATGTGAACAAGAACTAAAAGTGGACTGAGAGGATCACGTCAGGCTGGATGTCTGTCTGTCATCCACGGCTCTTTGAGGGCTTTGGAGCACCATATTTACCTCTTGGAGGCAGAAACCTTTAGCCCTCTGGAGCTGCTCTACATCAGCACAGAAGAGGTAGAGTAACAACCTTCATGAGCTGGCTTTGAATTTGTAAAATATTGATGTGTTGGGTTAAAAAAAAAAGACAACTTTAACATGTAAAAAAGGAGAGTGTGGTATATTTTTTCAGAAGAGACCAACAAATACACTTCGAAAAGTTAGAAAAGAAGCTGGATTAGTTAAAGCAGTAATGTGCAAAATAGAAAACATGACAGACAGTAGGAAAAGCCATATGGAGACATCTCCACGGACTGCAGGAGAAAGGAGGCATTAGCAGACGAGGACGAGCTCAGTGGGGTTTCCAGGACTGGGATTTGAACCTGCTGCTGCAGCTCACCGTGCTGTCAGCAAGAGGTCTAACGAGAAGCTCACGCAAGACACACACTGAAGACTTTTAAAATACCTGACGGCGCTCCATTTCTTAGGCCTGGCTTCTGGACGTGACCGCGTTTAAGCTTTACCCAAACACCAGCTTTAGACACCAAGTGAACACAGAACGATGGAACGCTGATATTTAACATTTCATTCGAACTGATCTCTCTGCAAATCTGTCGAGTGAATATTTTAACTGCTATCTAGCTCTTCTCATGAAAAGAAGCACGTTTTTCCCAAATTTTAAGTCCTCGCCACATAAAAAAGTTTTCAAACCCTGCATCCAGAACAGTTCATGAAACAAACCCTACATGTGTCCCAGTCGAAGCGCTCACATGAAGCTACCAACCGAGGTCCCTAATAGTTTTGGTGTACCCAAATTGCAGCCCGCTCATAAAATGTTCCACACACAAATTGCTCGCTCCATGACTCATTTTATACCATATGGGTGCCAAACACACAGGATGCAACAAAGTTGACATGGAAACGCAATAAACAGACAAACAGACTCTTGCAGACGACGAGAAGTTTTGCGCTTTTTGACGTTTCGTCTGGAGGAGAAGAAGTGTGAGGAGCAAAAAAAACGCTGAATTTCCAAGAAAAACGTTTAAAATATCACAAAGCGTGCAGATTTCTAAGCTGGTTTTGAATTTGCTGCACGTTAAAATTTAAATTCAAGAGTTAAATTCAAACTCACCAGTCAGTGCTTCTCTTCCTCTTTTGATGTCTTGCTTTCTTAATAAAAAAAAAAAACGCCTGAATCTCCACTTAAACTTTGCACAAGTCTGGTCCTCCTCGTGTCTCTCAGCCTCTCTGTGCCCCGTCTCTCTATCTCCGTCTGTCTCTATCCAGCTATTCCAGACATGTTTCAGGGCTCGGCCCCAGCCAAATAAGGGAGGAGGAGGGCAGTAAACAAGGAAGACGGGCTGCGCTGTCGCTGGGCCCGCTGCCTTACTGTACGCCACACACACACACACACGCTCAACTCGATCCTCTGTGGCAAGACGCCGCTTTTAGTGGTTCACATGTGCGGCGTTTTCGACTATTATCCAATTAGCCGCTTTGTATTTAAAAAATTTGCCGTTGCGCTTCGGAGCGAAACCTTTAAATCAAAAATGGTCGTATATTATTTCAACGCGTTCACACTCCAGCGTGAGAAACTGTGCCAAGTAGAGTCTTAAGTCATAAGGACGCCTATAGCCGCGCAGACGCCCTGCACAATCGGATTAACGCGACAAATTAATGGTGTTCTCGGTCATTTTTAAGAACATTAAGGAACTCGTTGGCCCCCATTGGTGGCCTTCTGACTGCTTTGACCTCCGGGTCGACAGCTGTCTCCAGACCACAGGGTTATTAGTGGAGCAAAGGCAAGCCGACAAACACAAGGTGCACCACACACACACTTCTGCATACCACGTAAAAAGCTGCGAAAGACCTACACAAACATACAACAACTCATATGCACGCCCAGACCAATGTTTGCGCCTATTAAACTGCTGTAAACCCAAATATGCGCAAAACAGCTCACAAATACCTCAACCTAAGGACGCCTCTCCTCACGTTCCCCCCACCGGCATCGGTATGAAACTCTAAGCTTCCTAATCCCGCCGACCCTTTAAAGACACCCATCTTTCGTTGAGTCCTCTCAACTGGATTTCCAAGGTCGGCGGAGTCCGTTAAAAATGGCGTCAGGAAGAGTTAGCCGAGGGCCCCCCCCCAGATGCATTCAGACATCAACGCCCGAGGATGAAACATTCGTTTAATACCCAGACAAATAAACAAGTCTGGATTCTTTAAATGATACCTGGTGAGTGATTCATGTCCGCCGAGCTGTGCTGCGTAAAAATAGGCCGTTCTGTCATGGAGCTTGTCAGTGTCATCCAATTGGCATCGCAATGTACAGTGAGGGAAATGAGTATGTATAGTTCATGGTTTTGGCCAGATACAAAAAGCTATCAGACTACAATGTGAATACTAGATTTATTTTAACTGTAAGAGATGGAATATCTGCATAAAACACAAATAAATAAGAAGAACTTTGGTCTTCCACTAACAAATTTCAGGAGAAAATGATGAATAGGTCGCAGAAAGCTGGGAGCTTCCAAAAGTTGATGATTTTTCTGTTTTTGCAGC